GCGGCGTGGGGCCGCGGATACCACGGAGGGCGGCGGCCTGGGCCGGCTGAGCCATGGCGGCCCCGGAGCCGGCGCCGAGGCGGGGCCGGGAGCGGGAGCGGGAGGATGAGAGCGAGGACGAGAGCGACATCCTGGAGGAGAGCCCGTGCGGCCGCTGGCAGAAGCGGCGAGAGCAGGTGGGCACGGCCGGGCGGGGGGGGGAAGGGGGGACGGAGAGGGTGGTCGCCGCCCACCTCTGGCGGAGGGGCGGAGGAGGCCACGCGGGGCCATGGGCAAGCCAGGAGCCCAAAAATCTCTCCGCGGCCTCGCGCAGGCAGCCCCCCTAATTGGCCGGCCCTTGGACCCCTTTGGCCTGGTCCCCACGCCCTGCTGAGGGACCCCCAGTTCCCTAGGGTCCAGTCTCCTCCCAGGATCACCTCCCCATGCCTCCGCGACCAGACCAGCTACTAGCCCCGTGAAGACCATCCTGAATCCCCTGAAACCTGCTCCAAAGCCCCTCAGCCCAGCCCTTGGATACCACTACTTGGCTAGTAGAGGCCCACCCTCCTCCAGGCCCCCAGAGGGGGTCAGGGCCAGCATCCCATGCTAGCTCTCCCCTCCAAGGATGTGCGTAGAGACCAAGCCCCCACTCTGTCTCCTGACACGTATCAGCACACTCATATCCCCCACCCCCACTGCCAGGTGAACCAGGGGAACATGCCAGGGGTCCAGAGCACCTTCCTGGCCATGGACACAGAGGAGGGGGTGGAGGTGGTGTGGAATGAGTTGCACTTCGGGGATAGGAAGGCCTTCGCGGCCCATGAGGTGAGGCCTGCCCACCCCTTGAGCGACCGCGCCCCACCCCCACCACCACCCCGTGACCGCACCCCCCTTCCCAGGAGAAGATCCAGACCATGTTTGAGCAGCTGGTGCTGGTAGACCACCCCAACATTGTCAAGCTGCACAAATACTGGCTGGATGCCTCAGAAGCCCGGGCGCGGGTGAGCCATGGGCACAGGCACACCACAGGGTGGGACGTGGCCACAGCTGGGGTGGGGGTGGGGGTGGTGGCAGGGACCCACCTGTAGTTGGCGGAGCCCGTCCGCCCCGCAGGTCATCTTCATCACAGAGTACGTGTCATCGGGCAGCCTCAAGCAATTCCTCAAAAAGACCAAGAAAAACCACAAGGCCATGAACGCGCGGGTATGGGGAGTGGGCTGGGGCTGCATTGGGGATGTGGGTGAGGGGCAGCTCTGGGAACAGGACTGGGCTGGGGCCGGGTCAGGGATGCGAGGTGGGGGTGTAGGGTGGGCACCACAGGCCCAGCCGCCTCTCCACACCGGTCCGATGGAGTCTGTCCACCACCAGGCCTGGAAGCGCTGGTGCACGCAGATCCTGTCTGCGCTCAGGTGAGGGCCTGGGCTTGCCCTTGCCACGCCCCTATGCCCGCAGTGCCCCCTGACCTGACCACACCTACTCTCCTTCCCTCCTTCAGCTTTCTACACGCCTGCAGTCCCCCCATCATCCACGGGAACCTGACCAGTGATACCATCTTCATACAGCACAATGGCCTCATCAAGATTGGCTCTGGTGCTGGCAGGGTTGGAGGGGGGTTGGCGGGGCGGGGGGGCTGCCGGAAACCGTGGGCAGAGGACGCCCAACGCCCCATCACACTGACGCCTACTCTTTCTCCCCGTGGTGGCTGGTGCAGTGTGGCACCGCATCTTCTCCAACGGTGCGTGGGGACTCAAGGCGGGTGGAGGGCGCGGACACGTCCAGTCTGCTCATCCTCTGCCCTCTCCCCAGCGCTCCCGGACGATCTCCGAAGCCCGATCCGTGCCGAGCGTGAGGAGCTACGGAACCTGCACTTTTTCCCGCCAGAGTATGGTGGTGAGTCCTGAGTCCGGAAGCGTCTGCTGTTGCTGCCTCTTTCCTCTCCAGCCTGACTTGCTCTCCCCCTTTTAGAGGTTGCTGATGGCACTGCCGTGGACATCTTCTCCTTTGGCATGTGTGCCCTGGAGGTACTAGCCCAATGGCCTCATGGCCTCCCAGCTAGCTCACCCTGCATCTCTTCTCCATGCCTGACCTGGCCCTGCCTCCTAGATGGCTGTGCTGGAGATCCAAGCCAATGGGGACACCCGGGTCACAGAAGAGGCCATAACTCGTGCCAGGCACTCACTGAGCGACCCCAACATGCGGGTAAGCAGCTGGCCTTGCCCGTCCCGGCTGGCTCTCAGGAGTCCCAGGTAGGGCCAGTGTGGTGCAGGGATGGGCCCGGAGGTGCAGCGGCTCAGTGCCCTGGAGGGGTGTGCCAGCCCCACTGCACCAAGGCCTACCCACAAGGAGGGCCGTACCCGTGGTGCATGTTGGGTTTCAGGCCCGCAGGCCCTAAGTGTCTTTCTAAGGAAGGAGAGGCCAGAGAGGTACTCCCATCTGTGAGCACTAGTGTTACGCTTGTTTTGGAGACGAGAAAGAGGTTTGGAGAGGCAGTGTTCCACTCCACGTCCCTGCCTTTAAGCTCCAGGAAGCCAGCTAGAGGCGGTGTGGCCCCAGCTTATGTCGGGGGCGTGGTGGGGAGGAGGCAAAGAGAGTGTGGGATGGAGGCTGTGTCCACAGTCTCTCTAGGCTGTCTGGCTTGATCACATGGCCTCTGGGGATCAGGGTCAGAAGTGATGGGGACTGGATGGGGCTGGTGAGAAGTGAAGCCAGAATAGACGTGAGGGGCAGCAGAGGACATGTATGTGGGGCGGGGTATGGACCCATCAGGTCATCTCCGGAGCTGGGCCTGAGCTGAGGCAACCAAAATAGGAGCGATCTGTGGGTAGGCGGGTTTATGCTGGGCTACACGGACCTCCAGGAGCCTGGGCTGATCTGCTGGCCCTCCGCCCAGCACCCCTCCTCCCCCTGCCGGGACCGCAGGGCAGGGGCTTCAGTCCTCCCTCCACAGTGCAGGCTTCATCTGTGAACTGCGGATGACGACAGTGATCCCCTACGATTTCTGTGAGGGTTACAGGAAGTAGAGAATGGCAAGTTCTGGGCCCAGGGCCTGATTGTCCTACTTGTAGAATCAGGTCCCAGCTTGGCTGCTAACAGTATACCTCTCCCTACGCCCGTTCCTGCAAGAAGACTCCCGTAAGGACTGGACCCTAGGGGTCTGGGGACTTCAGGGGCCTCCTCTCCTCACACTGCACCCACTTCGGCCTCTCCTCTCCACGCCCCCAGGAGTTCATCCTCTCCTGCCTGGCCCGGGACCCCAGCCATCGGCCCTCTGCCCACAACCTCCTCTTCCACCGCGTACTCTTCGAAGTGCACTCGCTGAAGCTCCTGGCAGCTCACTGCTTCATCCAGCACCAATGTGAGAGGCCCGTGGTCTGGGGGCGGGCCAAGGGCCTGGGGGCGGGGTGTGAAAGGGCCCCCTTCAGGACCCTGAGTGCTCCTGCGGCCTGCAGACCTCATGCCCGAGAATGTGGTGGAGGAAAAGACCAAGGCAGTGGACCTGCACGCAGTCCTGGCAGAGATCCCCCGGCCGCCCCGGCCCCCGCTGCAGTGGCGGTGAGCGAGGGCTGCCCAGAGGCCTCTCCTCTCCACATGGCCAGCCCCCACCCAGTCCTGCCCCACTGGTGGGGCGGGCCGGCTGGCCCCCCTCACGTGCTTCTCACACCTGTGCCAGGTACTCGGAGGTCTCCTGCTTGGAGCTCGACAAATTCCTGGAGGATGTCAGGTGAGAGCTGCCGTGAGTTTGGGGAACCGGTGGCTACCAGGCCTGAGCCCCTAGCCACCCCAGCGTATCCTCAGGAATGGGATCTACCCGCTGATGAACTTTGCGGCGGCTCGGCCCCTGGGGCTGCCCCGTGTGCTGGCCCCACCCCCTGAGGAGGCCCAGAAGGCCAAGACCCCGACGCCAGAACCTTTTGACTCGGAGACCAGAAAGGTGAGCCCCTGCTCCTGCTGCACTGTGCCCATCTGCAGGCCTGTCCGTAGCCCAGAGGGGTCTCTTGCCAGGGGCTTTGAGTGCCCCCCAGCCCAGCACTCCTCCAGGCTGCCAGAAACAGGTCCTGGCTGACCCTGATGGGGGCATAGGAGATGGTAGGACAAGCTAAGATACCCCCTTTTCAGAGGCTCCTTGCCCCCTGCAGACCCCTCCCCCATCCCTTGCTGCCTGACCCCCAGCCCTGCCCTCATCGTGCTGTGCTCCAAGCAGCCTTCATCGGAGAATCTCGTCTGCCCCAGGCCTCTCTGATCTCCCACCCTTGGCTGATTCCCTGACGTTCGTGTCCTGGTGTCTCCTCCACGGCCTCCCAGACATTGTGTTTCCCCCAATCTCTCCTCCTGTAAGGCTCCCTCCTGGCCAGAGGCCTGCCCTGATCAGCCTCAGCCCCTCTGTCCCTTTCCACGTCCATGCCTACTGGGTTCCAGAGGCTCTGGCTTTGGGCTTGGGTATGTCTCTGTGGTCTCCACCCCGATCTAGGCCACCCCCCTTTCCTACCTGGATGGTGAACCAGCCCCCAACCTAGCCTCCTTCCTCCTGGCTTCCCTCCACGGTGCAGCCAGGATTCATGTCCTAACAGCTAAAGGTGCCCACAGGGATGGTGGAGGTCCTCAGCTGCCCCCCAGGTGTTCTGAGGCCTGGCGCTGCTGGTGTCCCATGCCTCTGCCCCTTTTCCCGCTGACCCCTCCCTTCCACCACTTCTCACAGCTCTCTCCTTGCTCAGGTCTTCTCCCCACCTGTGAGAACTCTGTTTATCCTTCAGTGCCCAGACTCAGTGTCTACTCTTCTGGAAGTTTTCCTTAACTTGCCAGGCTGCTGGTAGTGAATGTGCTTCTTAGGCTCTCCTTAGAGACTTACCCCCATTTCCGGTCCCTACCGTTCCTTCTGCCCCCTGAGGCGGCCTCTGCTCTTCCTGCTCAGCTGCTGAGGTCCAGCCTGTGTGGGTGACCTTGGTCAATCCCTATTCCCAGGTGATCCAGATGCAGTGCAACCTGGAGAGGAGCGAGGACAAGGCCCGCTGGCATGTGAGCAGGGCAGGGGTTGGGGCCCACAGAGGAGCAAGGGAGGGGAAGCAGTGGGGGGGCTGGGGGACTCTGGGAGCCAACCACGCCCCCCTGCCTCCGCAGCTTACTCTGCTTCTGGTGCTGGAGGACCGGCTACACCGGCAGCTCACTTATGACCTGCTCCCAAGTAGGCCAGGCGGGGACCCAGGCAGGGACGGGTGCAGGTGTGGGCCCAGGCGGTGGCCTCACATCTCTGTCCTGCCCCTGCCTGCGCTCCTGCTGCAGCCGACAGTGCCCAGGACCTTGCCAGCGAGCTGGTACACTATGGCTTCGTCCACGAGGTGTGTGGGCCGACCCAGCCGAGCTGCGAGGGGGACAGAGCAGAGTCTGCGCCCCTGTCACCCCATGCCTCCCTCCCACCCTGCAGGATGACCGGACCAAGCTGGCTGCCTTCCTGGAAAGCACCTTCCTCAAGTACCTCGGAGCTCAGCCGTGACCTCGCACCCCAGCCCCCAGGGACCAGCCCTGGCCACCCACATGGGGAAGCTCAGCATTGGTCCAGGGCTCAGGGGACCAGGGGCTGACCTCTGCTTACATGCTTGGGGCTGATGACCAAATGCCTGCTAGTGAGGAACTTCTGCCTTCCACAGCTTTCAAGGAGGCCCTGGAGTG